GATCTGTTTTTATAAGCCTCATCTGTCATAAATCCAAGCTAGCAGATTTAATCAGCAAAATATGCCATAGTTTTACAGAGCAGGCTGGGACATGAGAAAGGGAAAACTTTGCAGAGCTTATTGTGGAACCACTGAATGTATATGATCAGGGCCTGGTTCTCTTTGACATTAAAGGCCCTTTTATACCATAGCATGTGTGTTGCAGCCTGAGATGACACACTGCCTCTGGTGTGTGCTATGGCCACAAGAATAATTCCCTCATTTGAGCTCTGTGTTTCAAAGCTTGGAAGTACCAGAGTGCTTCTTTGCAGTGACCAGCATCATCCCATGCGGATTTGGGTGAAGCCAGCCCTCATTCAAGAAGAATGTTCAAAATTCTTTTGTAGATGTTCCACAGAGACCTTACTGTGCTTTTGTCCCACTGTTGAGCTTTGGCTGCAATGAATGTGACATTGGTGAATTTGGGTATTTTGGAACCACAAAGAAGAATATGTACAATGTGTTGTGAGCCATGCTCCATGCAGTGTCAGCACTCTCTTTCTTTTATTTCAGATTATGCTGCAAAATAGCAAAGGGAAATTCCTGTGTGGGGGTGTTCTCATCCATCCATCCTGGGTCCTGACGGCAGCGCACTGCACTGAGACAGAGGATGGGCTCAAAGTAAGACTTGGTATGGAAAAAAGTCTGTCACTGTGTTTTTTAATTATAACTGCTTGATTCCCATGGTTTATCATCTCAGGAGAAAGACTAGCAGGTTATGAGGACAAAAATCTTCTTGGCTGTAGGAGTAGATTGTCTAGGAAATATTTAGGATGCACCTTAGCACAAAACAAAAAAGTTTAGTAAAAATCTCATTTCATTTGAGCCTTATCGTGGAAGTGAGCTGATGTCTCCTGAGCACTGCTGCTTGTCTGTAAAGTAGCAAGGCTTAGTCTCTTCTGCTTGTGTTTTTCTGGTGATGAAAATATTCGAGGTCATTCCAATAGTGAAACAGAAAAGTCCTGATCTCAGGAGGAGAATGTCACAGCTCCTCTTCCTGCCTTTTCATACATTTAAACACCATGATGAGAGTTTCAGTAGCAAAGGAGCAGAAATGCTGCAGAATAGCAACGCTGCCTTTACTGGTAGTTCTGTTTTTAAGCATAAGAAAGTCTATGTCAGGTACAGTACTGCTTCTGAGTTAATAGACAAAAATAATCATTGTTCTATTCACACTTAAGTAGATTTTTAATTACTGTTTTCTGTCTACCATTGGTGGCAGGCATAACAGCTCAACTGTGCTCTCTCTCTGTTAGTGAAAAGATAGGTTGTTCCCTGTAGTTGTGGAAAATCTTGCAATTCTGTTGTCTCTATATGTAGTCTTGGAAATATATTGCTTGTATGCATGTTCCATATAGACTGTGGATGTGCAGATGTTTGAGAACAGAGGCAACAAGGCACGTAGGTTTGGATATGTTAATGTACGTCCTCTGTTGTTCAACACAAAGGATGAATAGAAAAGAATGCAATATAGCCTTGAGTCCTCTTAGTGCCAAATATACACCTTTACCACAGAAGGATATCAAGGCATATGTGCATGTGGTAGTTTGAAAATGTGCATACAGAGTACACATCTCCAAGCAGTTCCAGTTACTAGTAAGTAATTTTCTTCCCTTCTAAGTGATTGCCAATATGTATATTTAGTTTTAGTGAGGCCCAAGAAGAATCCTGTGCAGTTTGCTTGGTAAAAAATCTTGTAATGTTTTAGGGGAAAAGCAACTGTTGGGTGTCATGTTTGAAGGCTCTGCAGTGCTAGATGTAGCTTTGAGTGTAACTTAAAGGGAACAGTCAGCAGGAAAATGGTAACTACGGGAAATACTGAGGCTGCACTTAAATTGTTCCAACCTGGCCTCTTACTGCAGGTCTTGATAGAGATCTATGGGGTCTGACAAGCTTTCAGCTGGAATAGCCATGCCCAGAGATCTCTGCAGCAAAGAAAGAAGGGTGAGATCTGTCAGGAGAATCCTGTGCTAGCCAAATACAAAGTGGTTGTCCGTGAGTGAAGGGCACTTGAGAGCCCTGATTTGAGAAGGTATTTTTATTGGTTTAAATAAAAGTCAAGAGACATCTCACACATAAATTTGGAGTGAGCTTACAGAGTAATTTATACTGTTAAGGGTGATCAGCAACAGGGGCTTTAGCTGCCCAAAAGACCTGCCTTATTAATAGGGGAAGAAAAAGTGTGTGGCCATGGAGTGAGAGTTGGTATGAATGAGAGGAGAACCCCTCTCATTCATCCTTGAACAATATTGCTATGGTGGGATGGAAACCACAGAAGGGCCCTTCCCTGGGGTACTGGGATGGATGTGTGCAGGACTGAGATGACCACAGGCTGAGACTTCACCAAAAGAGATTCTCCTCCAAAACATACTCCAGGTCAAGCAGAGGGGATCCTTTTTAAGACCCACATGGTTTTCCTTTTAAATGTATCTTTTGGGAATTCTGTTGCCATCAGAAAAGCATTTCTTATCAGAAAAATATCTGCTCTAAAACCTGGAGACATCTCGTGAGGTACATGGAACTGAGTTTCAATGGAGACATGGCCATGTCAGAGGGGTCAGGTATGAGTCCCATAACAGTAATGAATGCTTAGTTCATACTGAGCCTGCAGAGGTGGTGCTCAGCCTGCCTCTGTCAGGCTGGGATACCCATCACTTTTCTTGATTCAGTTCATTGTGGCGCTGCTTACCAACCATAAGAGCAAAACTGGAGGGGAAGCTTACAGCTGGGTTTGCACTCACGAGCAATAGTTTTGCAGCAGGACTCACGTGGATTTTTAGTGTCTGAAATTAAGTTAGCTTTCAGAGTAGCTGAAGTTGGAAGCTCCAGTTTAAGAGCATCCAGAAGTGTGTGCACCCAAAGTCAGAGCAACTTGGCTGCAGAGTTTGTATCTGGAGGGGTTCAAATAAGACTGAAAGAAGGCAAGAGTTAATGAGGGAGTGAGGGAACAAATTTAAGGGCTCGTATTGTGAAACATCACATTTGAAAAGGTGATGATAAAGAGCAACTTCCAAGTCACCTATAGCGAGACTGAGCAGGAAAGCACACTTCTGTCACACACATGCAACCTGGGCAGAGGTAAGGTGTCAGCCTCAGTGTCCTGCCACCTTGTGCTTGGATGTGTGCCTGCCTGCAGCTCAAATGAGTATTATGGACACTTCTCTGAGTGTTTTTCTCAAGTATATACTGAAGTAGGCCTTGATATGAAGCTTAAATTAGCCAACAGCACAGTTCAGAAATGTGACAACCACTGAATTATTTTTGGGGTTATCTCTTCACAGCCTATTAGAGAGATATGTCTCTGTCTTTTCCAGTGTATCACAAATTACTTGTTTGTGCCTTTCTGGCCTTCTCAGCTTAGTTTCCTGTTTACTGTTCCCTGACTGCTTGGCCCACAAAGTAGCCATGATCATGTAGCACAAATAACAACTGAGAAGTCTTAATTAGTCAAAAATTACTGAATCTTGCCTACAGAGGCAAGATTTGAGAAAGGAATAGCCTTACCAGTCAGTCACCTTTATGTTATAAACCCTGAATTTAGTCATTCAGGCACTGGTTATACAGCATAAAGCTCATGTACTGTTGAAGTGTCTTGCTTTGCTGTATGCTTGTTCTCCCAGCTTTTAACACTGACTCCAGGAAGATTGTTTTCCTCCTGAAGATCTCTCATGTGGCACAAGCATACTGTGTTGTGAACCCAACAGGGCATTTCAGTTTCTCAACTGATAACCACGGCTCTAGGGTACTAAAATCCAATTAGTACTGTATGTGTTCATGATTTAGGTAAATATAGAAAATTCACATATTCGTCCATCTCGTAACACTGTTAACCTGTAACATAAATGAGTGAATGTCTATATTGCAAGAGAAGTAAAAACATGAAGTACAGTCCTAAAGCCCAGTGTAATCCAGATGCTTTGGTGTTCAAGGTGAAGGAAGGTTCAGTAGCATCTGTCATCTTGTTTGCTCTTTCAGGTAAATTCCACCGTCTCCGTCTTGAGGCAGATGAGCAAACCATTTGGGTTGATAAATGTGTGAGCCACGAGAACTACACCAAGGAGACATCTGATAATGACATAGCCATGCTGCACTTGGCTGAGCCTGTGATGTATAACAAATACGCGCTCCCTATCTGCCTTCCCACCCGTGACCTGGCAGAACAGGAGCTGATGACAAGTGGGAAGCAGATGGTGGTAACTGGCTGGGGCAGCACAAGTGATGCTAACAGCAATTACTCTACTTTCCTCAGTTATATCCAAATCCCCATGGTTCCACGGAATGAGTGTGCCCAGGCGATGAGATTTGCTATCTCTGACAACATGCTGTGTGCTGGGAGCTTAGGAGACAGAAAAGATTCCTGCAGTGGGGACAGTGGAGGCCCTATGATCACTAAATATAAAGATACTTGGTTTTTGGTAGGACTGGTGAGCTGGGGCGAAGGCTGTGGGAGAAAGGAGAAGTTTGGAGTCTACACCAAAGTTAGTCAGTATCTTGAGTGGATCCAACACCACATAGATAAGATGTCAGCTTCTTGGCAGGGTTGACTCTGATACTGAAAGTCTGGAATATTGTGGCTATGTGCTACTGACAGTATGCAGTGTAATGTACTGTCAGATCTTCAGTATTAAATATGGAGTATATGTTAACCTTGTGTACTGTTTTCCTTGGTACCTGTGTTATGCCTTTTTTTTAATTTCTTTTTTACTGAGTTTATATTGGTTAGTTTCCAGGTTATAGGGTTTATTTGTAGCATGGTCCTACACTAGGCCTTACAGGCAAGAAATAATACCCTGTTACACTGAGATACTTTACAGTGTTGCAGAAAATAAGATGGTCCATGGTCAGGCAACTCCATCTTTGTGTATAAAATGACTGAATTAGTTGGGGTGAGGAATGGGAGGGTTCAGAAAAAAGTGTTTTAAGTGTTTTTTTTTTAGTGATACAGTTCTGTCATTCCAGCTTTACTGCAGCATGGTCACAGTACCTGATTTGGTTTGCTGTATAGTTGCATAGTTTTTCTTTGAACATGATGGAATTCTAATAACATCATTATTGCCTCCACTCATTCACATCTTACTCCAGTGCTCACAGATTAAGCTGATTCGGCAGGTCACTAGAATGTCTCCATTTTTTCTGTTCCATTGTTTGCACACTCAATGCATGATTTTCCACACCACACCCCCCCCAAGACTTCCTTAAAAGTCAAGGGGAATTCTGTGTTATTACAGAAAAAGAGGTTTAACTTCAAGATTTTGCATGCTCTATTTAACTTAAGGCCTGTAAATCTTTTCTAATTAGCAAGCTAAGCAAATGCTTGGGTTCATTCCAATTCTAGTGAATGCAGTCAGCTGCAGGCTATTTTAGCATTGCTAATACTTACTGATATGCGTGTCTGTGTTTGCATCTGGGCCTGTATATCTGTGTGTATATCAGTAACTAAAATAAACATACAGTACCAGTAAGTTCATAGGAAGAGCAGTAGTCAAAATGAAGTTTAAATCACAATTTATACTTTCTTTTAATCTTAGCATTTAAGCTTGCTAAATATAATATACTATACATAATCTTGTAGAAACAAAAAGGTGAAGCTAACTGCTGTAGTGATGTATGTTTCCAGTATCTCAATCAGGAATTGGACCCATCTTTGTATCAGTGAAGAACTTCAGTCTGCTACAGTGATGAGATTGCTAAATGAAACAAACTTCAGGTACAATAACATTGTGTTAGGCTTTGTAAGAAATTTAATATGGTGCCAGCAAAGAGGTTTAATTCCTGTTGAACTTGTGGACTTAGTCTTGTTGACTTACAGGCTGCTTACATGTTTAATAAGCAAGTGCTGAAGTTGATTCATGTGTTAAAGTAGCAGTCAGGCTAAGGGCTTCATGTTGGAGGTAAGCTGAGACCAAAGAGCACAGTCAGCAGTCTCTTGTCTCTCTTTTTCTTTTTTCCCCTGCCCTTTTTCATTTGGGATTGGATTGAAGGATAAATGGACCTTAAAGAATAATGCTTTGAACAGCAGCCTTCCAGCCAGAGCCTGCACCAGGAACATGTGCTTCTGAGAAGGCCAGCATTGCTAGTCACTGAATTGCAAGGAAAAATGTTATTGTGTTCAAAGCCAGTAAAATATGGCTCTAATTAAAGACAGAAATTGTAATGTCCGTGAATAGCTGTGACTATTGCAGGGCAATATTTGCCTTCCTGCAGGTGACTGCTATGAATTCTTCTACGCTTATAGCTCTGCATATTTTAACAGATGCTTACAGAGCAGTTTGTGTATTTTCCAGATCAATTGGTATTACCTTAAAGATCATGGAGCATCAGAAATCTCTTATACAATCTAGATTTTCCTAAAGAAATCTGTTGCAAAGATGTGGCTTTCATTGTTAGAGGATGCTTTTAAGGATTTTTAAATAATTTTTTTAGTGCACATATGTATGTGTGTGGAAACACCCAATTTTCTTCTGATTCTGGATTTCAAATGTGTTTCATAGAACCCAGAAGGTTGTCTCTTCTCTGTCAATATTTGTGACTGGTTAATTATCAACCCTTTGACCTTCTGGCTGTTCCTGGTGTACATCCAAATCTCTGTCCTGTCTTTCCCTAAAAAAAAATAAAGCAAAAAAGTGAGTATAATTGCATGGCTCTGTGTACAGTGAACGCATTCTGGATCCTGTGGGTTTGGGAAATGATCTGTGTAGCAAAGAGGAATGTGCTGTCAAATCCTCATAAATTATTTAGCCTGGGAAGGTAATGCGCAGAAACAGAGACTTCTATCTTGTAACTTTTACTACCAGGTACGTGGTGATGGTCTCCTCACTGGGTGTGCATACATGGACTGATTTGACAAGGCCATGAGAAGCTGCTGGCTGCAGTGTGCAGCTCAGCCCTCAGCCTGGGATCCTTTGCAGTTTAGACAAGGCTGTCACTGGAACTGGCTTATGCTCAGTTTGGGCCTGATCCACTCCTCCCATGTTCACCACAGGGGTTTTATTCCTTCTGTGAGCTTCAGATCAGGCCCTACAGCACGTCCTGGTCTAGGTCAATCTCTGCACATTACCCTGCAAACTGTTGGGATTCCTATTGTGTGCAGCATCGGTGTGGCTTGAAGAAACAATGGGCATCAGATCAAAAATGAACTGGGTAGAATTTGCTTTCTTTATCCCTTCTCCTGCCCTCTTGCTTCTACTTCTGTATTTTTTTGCAGGTTAATTTATCCTTGGTTTTATGATACCAATTATATTTATTTGTTGTATATGTTATGTTATATATTATATTAATTATATTCCAAAATATACCAATTTTATCCTTCTTTTCCCTCTAAAGGAAGTCAGCAGGAAGGCAAGAGTATTCTGAATGCACACTAAAATGGAAAGCAGTTCCTCACTTGTGATGTTTCTCCTACTGATGTGTTCCATCAACAGCAGCTGTACATATGCATATTCAGGTAGGTACTTCTGAATTACCCTTTTAACTTCATTGTCTCATTGTGACAATCTTGCATTTAAACTGAAACTACATCCCTTTTCTGAACAAAAAGTCCTGTGCGTTGGAGAAGCCACTTCCAGAAATGCATGCAAACAAATGAATATTCATATTTATATTTCCAAGAGAAATCAGCCTTTCTTAACTTCCTACTTAGACCACTAAGAACTTTGCTGTTGCAAAGTATTATCCTTGTGACACTGAACCCATCATCTGAACTATTTTTGTATGGCAAAGCTTTCCAGTTTGGGAAGCTAAAATTAGGCATTTTTAATATGTGTTCCTGGACCTCATGTTGATTTTACTACAACTACACAAGGTTAGGAAATGGCTTCAGAGAGCTTTAGAACAAGTGTGAGAGTGTGCAGGATCTCAGGAATCATTATGGCTGTCCTTGCAGAGGATGAAGAACAGACGTAGAAGTGGTGTCTGCAAACCAGAAGGCTTTACACAGGCATATCTTCTATGTGGGATATCTGCTTACAATAGGTAAATCATTTAAAGATGACCCCATAACTCAAGGTGAGATTTCACATAAGTGAAAGACATTTTCCTCATTACCAGACAGCAGGATATACTCAAAGTTTTTCTCAGCTGAGAGTTTTTGTGGGCTGTTTCTAATTGCCAAGAAATGAAGCAATTTAATATTCTAGAATTTCAGTCGTTTCTTTAGATACCAACTATGCAGCTGCAAGGAAATGTCTGTCTTGATGGTCCATCTCCAAAGCTGGGGTTCTTTGTCAGGTTTTGACTTGTCTAGGGCACTAAACTATTACTAGGGAAAGAGAGCCCCGTTAAGTGCTGTGTCAGTTTCAGTAGGCTTTGTCACAATTGCAAAGTGAGCTTTCTTAAAACTCTTTAAACTCTTAACAGCAGTTTTTCAATCTTATCAGGTGGATGGGTTTGGATATAGGGCCACACTTCTGGAGATTTAACAAAAAAAGCAAAACCTCTATCTTCTCTAAGTAGTGATAGCACATGGTATCAGTACATCCACAGGGGCTGAGTGAGCCTTCACTTCCCTTCTGAGCATCCTGACTGGAAAATCCTTGGAGCACTGTGCTTCAGCTAGAGGTGCCATATGGAGCAGCAGGGGTATGTGGGGAGGGCCTTACTGCCATATTTCCTCTTCTGGTCACTCATCTCTTAATTTATTGGCAGTAATAACTCTAAAGACATTGCAGGAGGAGGGCCAATAGCTTAGTGAAGCGAAGTTGTGAATAACTAAATGTAACTACAAACGTGGCAGCTTATATATGTCTTTTAATGAAGGAGTGGTGTCTGTCCTGTTGTGGCCTGTAGCTACCTGGAAAGCGCAGACATTACTGAATATCTAACAAAGCTGACACCAAATACAAACCAAACCTCTCCCTTCAGCTTTATTTCTGCATGCACACGCAGGCAATTAACAATTGTTGTGGATCAGGACTGTTAGACAGAAAAATACAACCAGCCTCACTGCAATACTCGAGTCTTGTGGAGTAAAACATGATTTGTGCACTTAACTGCAAGTCTTTTGATGCACTAAAAGAAAGCTTAAACTATCAGTGTCCTTTGTTGGAACACAGGCTCATCTTACTTAGTTTTGGGCTATTTATGTAGATTCCCACTCCCCTTCTTTGTGTTGTTTACTCAACTGAGAGTGCATGTGACTGTGACTAATGGTGCCAGTTTGCTGTCTGCCAGTATCAACTGTTCTGTTTTGTTTTCTAGTGTTCATGAGGAAGAATGAAGCACACGAGGTGCTCAAAGTCCATAAACGCGCCAATTATTTTCTAGAAGAGATTTGTCCAGGGAACTTGGAGAGAGAGTGCAATGAGGAGAAGTGTTCCTTTGAGGAGGCCAGGGAGATCTTCCACTCGCAGGAGAAAACAGTGAGGAACTTTATTTTAGTCAAAACAGAGGAAAGTTAACAATGGCTGGTGCTGATGGCCTTGCAGCACCATGTTTTGAGGGCTAGGTGGGAGCTGAAACTTGTAGGCTGGTACCACAGACCTTTCACTGGCTGGAGCGTTCATGGATCTAAGCTTTCAGTTTAATTCTCATTCCAATACAACCCAGTTTATGCACTCTGTGGCTGATCCATGACACAAACAAAAGCGAGCTGCATGGTGATGGTCAGATCTGCTCTGAGAATGTATTTTATGATTCTAATCAAAGTGCTAATTTACATGCACCCTAAAGCCCCACATTATCATTTCCTAAATTATATCATCAGTAACCAGTATGGCCACTTACTGACTGCTTTCTTCATTTGTGGTTTGTTGCAGATGGAGTTTTGGTTCAGTTACAAAGGTAGGTTAAAAAAGAAATCTAAACAAATTCTGGGTACAAAGAATTATGTGGCAGTTTAAAACCAGGCTTCTCTTAATTGCACTGTGCCTTGTTTCTTCTTCTTAGGTTTAAATCCATGTAATACAAATCCCTGTAACAATGGTGGAGTCTGCAAAATAAGACACTACAATTACTACTGCATCTGTCCCCCAAGATTTGGAGGAGACAGCTGCGAAAAAGGTGAGTACAGGGCACGCTGACATTCACTGTGAAGAATTAAGGCTGGCATTTGTTCATTGGATACTTGAGTTAAACCTTTGCATAGGCTTCTCACCAAGGTGGTGAGTGGTGTCACCAAGGTTGTCAGTGGCGACTTTTACCTGTCTGATCCAAAGCTGGTCGGTTGTTAAAGATTCTTACATTAGAACAGTGTTTTCTCACTTGACAAATTGGGGAACCACCACCCCAAGAAGGGAATTACACTGACAGCGGCTGTAGCTACTTCTGCCTCTGCTGTGCAGAAAAAGAGGGTAGCACCACTTCCTGTCATACAGCTGTGGCAGTCCTGGGCTCTTCACTCATCGGTGCAAGCCCTGAGTAAGGCAGGTAGCCACCTCCCATATTCTCCCAAGAAAGGATAGGGAATTACCCCTTGTCATCACTTCAGAGTGGTAACACATCTCGTGACTCCTGCCACAGCTACCTCCACTGGAGGTGGCTCCTGGTGAGGCTCTCTTCTCTGTATAATTTCCTTGAGTAAATGCATCAAGCCAAAGCTTAGTGTAAAGCAAACAAATCTGAAATTGTATTTATGTTGTAATATGCCAATAAGGAAAAATTAATTGGAAAAGCTGCCTCCCTCTCCTCAGTTTTTTTGTTCTTCTGAACTAGTGTATCGGATTTGCAAATGACTGAGGCACGAAATAGAGCAAAACCCAAACTCATGTGGAAACTATGAACTATAAGTATTTTTTTCCCCCACGTACTTTTCTCAAACTTTCCTTTTTACTGTGAAGCAATGAAACATGTTTGTTTAATGGAGCAATGTAGAAAGATCTCAGTCAGTTCCTCACAGACTTGCCCCCACCAAGTACTTTACATTTGTCATGATAGACAAGATATGCAGATGGATGAAAAATGGATGCATTTAGAAGTACTTGCTCTTCCAGATATCTTCTTGCCCCTGCTCTACAGGCAGAAAGGCCTCAGGTCAAAACTGGCAAAGGAGAAATGGTAGAAACAGGCAAGCAACAGACACAAGGCCATGTGTTTGGTTTGCTACAAATCAGCGAGGTTTTCTGGAGCTGTGAGGTAGTTCCCTCCTTTCCCCCGTGAGATTTCAGAAGGTTTAATTTCTTGCTCCTTCCTGTAACAGTGGTGCTAGAAGGTACTTGGGTCCATGCATAGCAATAACCTGTGCCTGTGTGTTTCCATGGCAGAGAAGTTTGAGTGCTGGTACAAGAACGGCGGGTGCTGGCAGTACTGCAGGGACAGCAGCAGCGCCTTTCACGTGGTGTGTTCCTGTGCAAAGGATTACACCCTGCATGAGGATGGGAAGAGATGTGTGCAAGCAGGTAGTGTGGTTTGCTCAGAGTTAGAATCCTGGAACCATAGAATGGTTTGGGTCAGAGTTATTCCTGGGCTCTTACAGGAGTATTGAATCCTATTCTTGGACAGAAGTCCTGCTTTTGTGTTGGGAGTTTGACAGGACACCACACAGCCTAAACTCACATCTTTATTTCTGTCTGTGTTCCCTCCAGCACCATTTCCGTGTGGCCTGATTAAAGCCAGGAGTGCTCTGGAGGAAGAGTGGCTGAGGCTAGAAAGGCTCCCGAGGGGACTACATGAGCACGGGGATGATGAAGCCAAGAGGAACGAGAGCACAGAGGGCACAGTTATGCAAATGGAGCTGAAACAAAGTGCTGCTGGGGAAAATGAGACCTTAAAGGATGGCTTTGGGCAGAGCATGCACACAGAGGGTGACACAGGACAAGCAGAGGTGGCAGGGAACAAAACCCTGGTGGACTCTGTGACACAGAAGCCACTGGGGGCTGGTTTCTCTGCACACAGTGAGGCAGTGGCAGGCACTGCCAGGCCTGGCGAGCCCGGGGTAAGCCTGGCTCTGTGGCCTGAGGCCACCCAGGGCCCTGTGTGGCAGGAGGAGATCACAGAGCCTGCTACCAGGCAGGAAGTGGTGGAAAATGCCATCCAAACAGCATGGACTGGGCTTCATCGGGGCAGTGACTGGGAACGTGTTTCAGACACGCCTCAGTTTGTCCAGATAAACGTCAGCTCTAATTTACAGCACAACGGCTCCAGGATAACGGGAGGAACTTTGTGTCATCGTGGACACTGCCCCTGGCAGGTAATATGTCCTGTCTGGCCATAAATACCACACAAATTGTATACTTTGAATACTTTCTTACTTGTCATCACTGGTTGCAGCAGGAGCAGAGTTCATCAGGCCATTGTACAGTGGTTTTTCAGGGCGAGAGCCATCTACCCACATGTATTTCTCAAACTTTTGCAGGTCTTTTTGATGATAACACACCTTAGTTGTCTTTTTTCATCATTCCTCCTGCTATCCCATCCTAGATACAGCTGCTTTTGTGATCTCAGCTTTCCCTTTAATTCTATCAGATGGGTCTTCTCCTGCTCTGTTATTCAGGTTCTTTTTTTCTCAGTTTTCTCAGTGTTCTCAGTGAAAAGCAGTCCTTCCACTCCCTTTGCAATGGCTGCTGCTATTTTTCACAACCATTTTCCTATGACCAGGTAAGATTCTCCATTAGACTGCTCAGCTTCTCAAACTTGGTAACGGTAAGGGAGGTAAAACTGAGAGTGCTCAGATATGAAGGTGGGAGTCCCACCTTCATATAATACAAGTGTTTCTTTTATTTCCACTGTCTTTTTTTATTCAGGGGTGGTTTGGGTTTTTTTTTGGTTGGTTGGTTGGTTGGGGTTTTTTTGGTGATTTTTGGTTTGGTTTGTGTGTGTTTGGGTTTTTTGGGTTTTGGTTCTTTTTGGTTTGGTTTGGTTTTCTTGGTGGTTTTATGTGTGTTTTGGTTTTGTTTTTTTTTTTTTAATCTTGGTTTGGGGCTTTTTGTGTCTCTTCTGTTACTGATTTTTCACTTATTTATACTGTCTCTGTTTCATCAGTGCACTGTTATTTAGGGGCTTGTTAACAGACTGATCTAAACCAGCTGTGGTTACTGCCAGTGTTTTAGTGCTGTCACACAAGACGACTTTGCTGTTGCACGCATCAGGAGGTATTTTACAGGGGGAAACAGGAGGCTGAACCTGTGTGGACCACGTGGTCCCTGTGCAATCCTGCAAGCTGATAGGTCACTACTGGGAAATTGTCAAAATGGCTTGTGATGTAGAACGTAACGTCTACAGGAACTCGTGTTGTACCTTTTTCCCACTATTTTCATTGTTAACTTCACAGAAACTGCAGAGTACCAAAATTTAAGCTTTCCCTGCAGTTTAACACATGAAGTTAACAGGTTCAGGGAGGAGTTTAATTGAAGAGAGGCAGAGGCATTACCAGAGCTTGTAATTCTCAATAGACAAGGCAAACATCTAACAGTGAGCAGCATGTTTTTACTTCTCCATTTTCTACTGTGTAGATAATGCCAGATTTTATTATCAGCAAAAGAAAACCAACACAGTTTCTCAGTCTGCACTTACTGGCATTTTCATTTGACAACTGGGAATGTGAAAAACTGTTTTCTATACCTTGTTCATATACAAAAATGCTGCTCTCTTTTTTTTTAACCAGAGTACCAGTGAAATACACCTTGTGTTACCCTTCTCCCGCACCCCCAGAGAAATGTGAAGGCACATGATAAATCACACTTGTTTCCTTAAAGGAATGCCACTCAGCATAGCTCTACTCCTGTTGGATTTGGCAAGCCTGGTTCATCGTAACATTCTGCTCCATTGTCACAGATGTGCAACCATTTTGTTTTATGACTGTTTTAGCAGTGTCACTATATTTGCTGCACTGTAGATATTGCCAGAAGTGTTGTTTTCAAGACACAGAGCTTGCACCCAAACTGCACGAGACTGATGGTGTGCACGCATACACAACAGAGCCCTGGTGACGTGCTCTTCTTCCTCCTACAGGTTTTAATCCGGAATAGCAAAGACATTGGTTTCTGTGGAGGGAGTTTAATCAGCAGCCGCTGGGTGGTCACGGCTGCTCACTGCCTTGATCTCGTCAGGCCACACCACGTCACCATAGGTGAGTACAATTTGTGTATTGTAGAAACACGGGGTAATCTCTTAACATAAGATGTACTTTGCATTGTACATGAATTGAGTAAGATATGGTTAAGAAACAGACATCACATCCCACCCAACACTTCCTTTTATTGGTGACTTCTAAGGGTGAAGGGCCTCCAGTTGCTCCCTTTTGCTCTCATGGGACCATCAGGCACAGGTTTACCTTCTTCTGTCACCCATTTTGGCAAACTCATCATGCCAGGAAACAGCAGAGCTCAGGGTGCACGTTAGAAGGAAGAGGGATTCATGTAGTTGATGGTGTGCTCTCCAGTCAGGATTGGTTTTTAATCAGCCTTAAGATTACTTTCCTGCTCTGCTGCCTGCTTCTCAGTGCCTTTAACTGCTCCAGCAGAAAGCCCCTCTTTTTTTGTAGCGTACCACAGTGCTGGTTTCAGTGGCAGGGATTGGAACCCCTTGCAGCTTAGACACACTGTTCAAAATACAGCACTTACTGAAAAACAGTGACATTTATGACAAAATCTCTACTACAGAAGCCACCTTCTCTGCGTATGTCTGTTCCTCCAGTCCATAACTTTGTTTTGCCCTCAAAGGGCAAACTGGGAAGCTCTATTTGTCCAATCACATGAGCAGCCTAAGAACTTACTGTCCTAGAGCATGATCTGGTTTGCTCTGTCCTGTCTTGGTACAAGAGGTCAAAGCAGTAATTCACTCCCATTCCTGTCCCCCCATGGCCATACCACAGAGGCTGTTTACAGTCTGATTAACATTTTAACTTGTGACTACAGGAGACTTTGACAAGTATCAAAGAGAGTTTAAAGAACAGAAGATTAATGTGGAACGGAGCTGGACACATCCACATTATGATTCCAATAACTACAACAGCGACATCGCCTTGTTGTACCTGAGCAGTGCTGTTGTTTTCAATGAGTATGCCATTCCCATCTGCCTTCCGAGCCCCAGCCTTGCCACCCTGCTATCCGAAGAAGGAAGAATAGGGATGGTAAGCGGCTGGGGCGCCACTCACAACAGAGGTTCAACTCTGCGCTTCCTCATGAAGGTCCGGCTGCCCATTGTAAACATGGAGACCTGCCAGAGGTCAATGGACAGGCTTGTTACTGATAACATGTTCTGTGCAGGGCACCACACTGAAGTGGCAGATGCCTGCAAAGGCGACAGTGGTGGCCCTTTCACAGTGTCTCACCACAACACCTGGTTTCTCTTGGGGATTGTAAGCTGGGGAGAGGGCTGTGCTGAGAAAGGGAAATACGGCGTGTATACCAGAGTGTCCAACTACATCCCCTGGATTAAAGAGGTTGTTGAGAGTGTAGCAGATTCTGAGAGCTTTTCCATTAACTTTTCTTAATACTGTCCTTGAAATCAAGAACAATTCTATGATTATGTTTCAGTTTCAGACACTACACATTTCCTGGCCTTAATGGTGTAAAAACAAGGTTATCTTTAAAGAAATGTTAAGTCTGTTTACCATAAATGGTTAAATTCTTCATTTGAGTATTACTAAAATACTTGTTATAATAAATAACTATTCTACAAAGAGCAAAGGGGATGACTACACCTTTCCTTAATGTAAATTCTTGCCAGAAAAGTTTCTTGTTTCAGAGAGAAGAAATGCTTTCCATTCCCCAAGCCTGTATGCATCTCGGAGAAAAAGGCAAACAGCCCTCTGTGTGAATTACCTGCATAGGAAAGGAAGTGCATTTCTGCTAGCGCTGTCTGGCCTCCCAGTTCTGAAGCACTGCTGAACCCAGCAGTTAGGGAGCTGTGAAGTTTTGTCACCAACTACAATAATTACCTCAGGTACAATTCAGTTTACCCAAATACAAATGTTTTCTGATACAAAATCGAAGTGTCTATGGAATCCTGTATTACAAAGTGCACTGGATAAACTCCCTAAGAGGGAATCCTCCCTCTGCAGCAGGAGAAACAGAAAAGAACCCTGGGGAATGAAATAAGTGTGAATACACTTTATGGGGGAAAAGCCAAAACACTACTAAAGGAATAACCACTTTTCCATCACCGTTACCAGAAATGCTGAGGGATGGTGTGAACCCAATCACCCCTCCAAAACGCTGATTAGAGCGAACATATTCATATACTGAATACATATATAGAAAATTTTATATGCATTTACAAATGCATTAACACATTAATATATTTACTATATTAAAAGATAAATACATAAAATATATGTTTATGTATATGTATATTCATATATGTTAAACTATTATTTTATAATACAGGTACTATAGGCTTTTCCCAGCCGATAGGAGACCCTGAGAGCAATGTCAGCCCCTTTTTGTATAAAAGGTGTTCAGTCTATAGGGGCCGCTGCGAGCAATTCCAGACCCTTTTTCTTCCTGGCGTGTGGAGGACATTAGGGTCCCCTATTTACGACGTTGTCCCACTTCTGCTTGTGTGAATATTTAAGCTATGGAGTCCCCTGCGAGCAATTCCAGCCGTTTTTTTCTTGCGGGACGTTGAGGCCACAGGGGTCCTTGCGGGCAATCCCGGACTTCTTGTTCTCGGTGGGGTGCTGCGGAGGGGCAGGTCCATGGGAGACCCTGTTCCTGTTTTTGGGGGACATGACGGAAGGAGCGTGGTGTTGATTTTGCGCGGGCCGGGGGGCGGGGGGGGGATTTGCGGGGGGGCGCGTGTCGGGTCGTCGCGGGCAGAGGCGTGCGGGGCTGTGTGCGTGGGGGCGCTGGCGTGGTTGGGCGTCACAATGGTGCCCCTGGCTTTGGGGGCTGGGGCTGAGTGCGGGTGGGCAGCGTGTGCGGGGGCGCCGAGAGCGGTGGTGGCAGGGGAGAGGCTGCCTACGGCCACACCACCCTGAAAACGCCCGATCTCGTCTGATCTCGGAAGCTAAGCAGGGTCGGGCTCGGGCTCGGTTAGTACTTGGATGGGAGACCGCCTGGGAATCCCGGGTGCTGTAGGCTTTTGCCAGCCCATAGGGGACCCTGCGGGCAATGTCAGCCTCTTTTTCTGTGCGGGCTTTTGCGTCTTTGGGGCACCATCAGGAATTGCAGACCCCTTTTTCTTGCTGGCATTTGAAGCACTTAGGGTCCCCTGTTTGCAAGCTTCTCCCCCTTTTGCTGGCTTGCCTTTTTAAGCTATTTAGGCCCCTGCGAGCAATTCCAGCCGTTTTTTTCTTGCGGGACGTTGAGGCCACAGGGGTCCTTGCGGGCAGTCCCGGACTTCTTGTTCTCGGTGGGGTGCTGCGGAGGGGCAGGTCCCTGGGAGACCCTGTTCCTGTTGTTGGGGGACATGAGGGAAGGAGCGTGGTGTTGTTTATGCGCGGGCCGGGGGGCGGGGGGGGATTTGCGGGGGGGCGCGTGTCGGGTCGTCGCGGGCAGAGGCGTGCGGGGCTGTGTGCGTGGGGGCGCTGGCGTGGTTGGGCGTCACAATGGTGCCCCTGGCTTTGGGGGCTGGGGCTGAGTGCGGGTGGGCAGCGTGTGCGGGGGCGCCGAGAGCGGTGGTGGCAGGGGAGAGGCTGCCTACGGCCACACCACCCTGAAAACGCCCGATCTCGTCTGATCTCGGAAGCTAAGCAGGGTCGGGCTCGGGCTCGGTTAGTACTTGGATGGGAGACCGCCTGGGAATCCCGGGTGCTGTAGGCTTTTGCCAGCCCATAGGGGACCCTGCGGGCAATGTCAGCCTCTTTTTCTGTGCGGGCTTTTGCGTCTTTGGGGCACCATCAGGAATTGCAGACCCCTTTTTCTTGCTGGCATTTGAAGCACTTAGGGTCCCCTGTTTGCAAGCTTCTCCCCCTTTTGCTGGCTTGCCTTTTTAAGCTATTTAGGCCCCTGCGAGCAATTCCAGCCGTTTTTTTCTTGCGGGACGTTGAGGCCACAGGGGTCCTTGCGGGCAGTCCCGGACTTCTTGTTCTCGGTGGGGTGCTGCGGAGGGGCAGGTCCCTGGGAGACCCTGTTCCTGTTGTTGGGGGACATGAGGGAAGGAGCGTGGTGTTGTTTATGCGCGGGCCGGGGGGCGGGGGGGGATTTGCGGGGGGGCGCGTGTCGGGTCGTCGCGGGCAGAGGCGTGCGGGGCTGTGTGCGTGGGGGCGCTGGCGTGGTTGGGCGTCACAATGGTGCCCCTGGCTTTGGGGGCTGGGGCTGAGTGCGGGTGGGCAGCGTGTGCGGGGGCGCCGAGAGCGGTGGTGGCAGGGGAGAGGCTGCCTACGGCCACACCACCCTGAAAACGCCCGATCTCGTCTGATCTCGGAAGCTAAGCAGGGTCGGGCTCGGTTAGAACTTGAATGGGAGACCGCCTGGGAATCCCGGGTGCTGTAGGCTTTTGCCAGCCCATAGGGGACCCTGCGGGCAATGTCAGCCTCTTTTCTGTGCGGGCTTTTGCGTCTTTGGGGCACCATCAGGAATTGCAGACCCCTTTTTCTTGCTGGCATTTGAAGCACTTAGGGTCCCCTGTTTGCAAGCTTCTCCCCCTTTTGCTGGCTTGCCTTTTTAAGCTATTTAGGCCCCTGCGAGCAATTCCAGCCGTTTTTTTCTTGCGGGACGTTGAGGCCACAGGGGTCCTTGCGGGCAGTCCCGGACTTCTTGTTCTCGGTGGGGTGCTGCGGAGGGGCAGGTCCCTGGGAGACCCTGTTCCTGTTGTTGGGGGACATGAGGGAAGGAGCGTGGCGTTGTTTTTGCGCGGGGGGGGGGGGGGGATTTGCGCGGGGGGGTGCGTGTCGGGTCGTCGCGGGCAGAGGCGTGCGGGGCTGTGTGCGTGGAGGCGCTGGCGTGGTTGGGCGTCACAATGGTGCCCCTGGCTTTGGGGGCTGGGGCTGAGTGCGGGTGGGCAGCGTGTGCGGGGGCGCCGAGAGCGGTGGTGGCAGGGGAGAGGCTGCCTACGGCCACACCACCCTGAAAACGCCCGATCTCGTCTGATCTCGGAAGCTAAGCAGGGTCGGGCTCGGTTAGTACTTGGATGGGAGACCGCCTGGGAATCCCGGGTGCTGTAGGCTTTTGCCAGCCCATAGGGACCCTGCGGGCAATGTCAGCCTCTTTTTCTGTGCGGGCTTTTGCGTCTTTGGGGCACCATCAGGAATTGCAGACCCCTTTTTCTTGCTGGCATTTGAAGCACTTAGGGTCCCCTGTTTGCAAGCTTCTCCCCCTTTTGCTGGCTTGCCTTTTTAAGCTATTTAGGCCCTGCGAGCAATTCCAGCCGTTTTTTTCTTGCGGGACGTTGAGGCCACAGGGGTCCTTGCGGGCAGTCCCGGACTTCTTGTTCTCGGTGGGGTGCTGCGGAGGGGCAGGTCCCTGGGAGACCCTGTTCCTGTTGTTGGGGGACATGAGGGAAGGAGCGTGGCGTTGTTTATGCGCGGGCCGGGGGGGGGGGGGGGGAATTTGCGCGGGGGGGTGCGTGTCGGGTCGTCGCGGGCAGAGGCGTGCGGGGCTGTGTGCGTGGGGGCGCTGGCGTGGTTGGGCGTCACAATGGTGCCCCTGGCTTTGGGGGCTGGGGCTGAGTGCGGGTGGGCAGCGTGTGCGGGGGCGCCGAGAGCGGTGGTGGCAGGGGAGAGGCTGCCTACGGCCACACCACCCTGAAAACGCCCGATCTCGTCTGATCTCGGAAGCTAAGCAGGGTCGGGCTCGGTTAGTACTTGGATGGGAGACCGCCTGGGAATCCCGGGTGCTGTAGGCTTTTGCCAGCCCATAGGGGACCCTGCGGGCAATGTCAGCCTCTTTTTCTGTGCGGGCTTTTGCGTCTTTGGGGCACCATCAGGAATTGCAGACCCCTTTTTCTTGCTGGCATTTGAAGCACTTAGGGTCCCCTGTTTGCAAGCTTCTCCCCCTTTTGCTGGCTTGCCTTTTTAAGCTATTTAGGCCCCTGCGAGCAATTCCAGCCGTTTTTTTCTTGCGGGACGTTGAGGCCACAGGGGTCCTTGCGGGCAGTCCCGGACTTCTTGTTCTCGGTGGGGTGCTGCGGAGGGGCAGGTCCATGGGAGACCCTGTTCCTGTTGTTGGGGGACATGAGGGAAGGAGCGTGGCGTTGTTTATGCGCGGGCCGGGGGGGGGGGGGGGATTTGCGCGGGGGGGTGCGTGTCGGGTCGTCGCGGGCAGAGGCGTGCGGGGCTGTGTGCGTGGGGGCGCTGGCGTGGTTGGGCGTCACAATGGTGCCCCTGGCTTTGGGGGCTGGGGCTGAGTGCGGGTGGGCAGCGTGTGCGGGGGCGCCGAGAGCGGTGGTGGCAGGGGAGAGGCTGCCTACGGCCACACCACCCTGAAAACGCCCGATCTCGTCTGATCTCGGAAGCTAAGCAGGGTCGGGCTCGGTTAGTACTTGGATGGGAGACCGCCTGGGAATCCCGGGTGCTGTAGGCTTTTGCCAGCCCATAGGGGACCCTGCGGGCAATGTCAGCCTCTTTTTCTGTGCGGGCTTTTGCGTCTTTGGGGCACCATCAGGAATTGCAGACCCCTTTTTCTTGCTGGCATTTGAAGCACTTAGGGTCCCCTGTTTGCAAGCTTCTCCCCCTTTTGCTGGCTTGCCTTTTTAAGCTATTTAGGCCCCTGCGAGCAATTCCAGCCGTTTTTTCTTGCGGGACGTT